AGTGTGCAAATCTGATCGGGTGTGAAGTTGGTCCTGTCCTCCAAGGAGCTGTCTTCTTGTAGTCGTTTTCTGACAGTCTCCACTGCCTCCGTGGTGGGTACGCTTTTCTTTGCAAGCTCCTTTGACTACGATGACCTGGATGACTGAGAACCTTCACAGACATTGGTCGACATGGTACATTTTTCCACCAATAGGAAAGGCTGGGGTTTTTTGGTGTTGTTTTTGCTCAGGTGGAGAGTGCTTTTAAGCGTTTTCCTTATAAACCGCAGTTTTTACCGTTTCTTCCCGCAGTAAATATAATGAATTAAGCTTAATGAATTTGATTTAGTTCTTTTGTCTCCTGCTCAAGCTGTGGTTTGCAGTACGATGTTGAATTTAACACTAAAAAGAGTGTAATAATGAGCGCCTCATGTAAAGAGGACTGGTAGCAAACTATTTCCTGATTCTGTTTGGGAGGTAAAGTTTTAAATGTGGTGACTTTAAGTTAGTTATTTAACTCATGTCATCAGAAATGATGGCCAATGTTGTAAACTTTATGCACAAACAAATATGCTAGTCTGTAATTTCTACAGGTGCACAGATGATGTTAAAATAACTCGTTTTTTTAGAGACTGTTGTACTGTACTTTATGCAGCACATTTGTGGTGCACTTACAGTATACCATAACAAAGCGTCAGGTAGCATATAATTACTTAGGCTTCCATGATGGAACAAGTGCAAGACAAATGTTGGTGACTAGTAATGTTTCATATGTAAATGTATGTGTTCATTAATTGATTCAGAAAGGTCACAGTGATTTTAGCTGTACCGTCTTTAAGCTATACCAGAAACGTAAATATAGATGTTATACATTATATATGATATCATAGATATTTCTCGTTCGTCTGGACAATTGTCTGTTCACATTGTAACTTATAACAATTGCATTTTTGTGGTGTCTTTTATTAACTTTTATTAAAAAAAAAAATAAAGATCACTTTATATCAGTTGTAAATGTACAGAATAAATGAAGAAAAAAAATAAAGCCCTTTTAATGATATTTTTTTTACGCCTGGCATTAAGTTATGCTAGAATTAACATTTTTATACCCTGAAAAACCTACAGAAAGTTGACAGAATCATTTTTTTCTTCATATTCTACTGTTTATTATTATTTTTATATAATATTTTTCGATTTTTAAAATTCTTGTTTTAATTCAATTTTTTAATTTTTTTTTTGGCAATTTAATTTTTAAAATATTTTCTTTCTACTCTATTTTTTTCCTTTATTTTATTTTGATACGACGATGACGTCGCAGATTTCTAGCGGAGCGTAAGCGGGCGTGGTTAGAGGGTTTTCGTTGGGCCAATCAGGAGCGCCTAATGTTAATGAGCTGCAGGAGTCGGTGTGGTGAGCGGTTCTCCGGAGTAGAGGAGTAGAAAGCGGCGGACTGGAGTCAGCTAGATCATTGCGTGTTTCTCTGCATATGAATCTCTGGATGGCTGGTTAACCGCACAGGAAGAAGAAGAAGAAAAACTCTTAATAGTGCCTCCGGTTATTCCGACGTGCCGCTGTTTGTCGCGGTAAAGCGGATATTTCTCACTTTAACTGGAGTCAGAAAGAAAAGCGGCAAGATGAAATACAAAGTAAGTGAAGCGCCGCGGGCTGGATTTGATGCTACATCTCAGTTTTTTGTGTTATTAAGGCTGGATATTTGTTGTGTTGTTTAACCTGGATAATGACAACAAATCTTGATGCTGTCGGAGACTTCTTTTTGAGTCGACGTGAATGTGAAATGTTAACGCTTCTGTATTCGTGGCGGTAATCACAACTTATTTCAGTGAATACATCCGGGTTGCTTTTTTCTTATGAACTGGTTAAAAAAAGAAGAGGAAACTGCACTAATGACTTGCTGAAACGTGCCTTTTTTGTTTCTGCTTGATGTGTGTGTGTGTGTGTGTAAATGTGCTGCACAAGTCAGTATGCGTCACTTTAAATCTGCAGGTTACGTTTTCCATCACAGGGGCCTAAAGAGAATTAAAATGAAACCAACTTTGAGGCCCCCTCCTTGCACTCACCACTACATTAGATTAGACAATGTCAGAAAATTGTGGGTTTTTTTAAAGTCTAAAACCTGAAGATATCAAGTTATGACAAAGAAATTTGTGACAAATACACATTACCGGAGGTGTAATTAGCAAATACTTAGAGATATTGTTTAAAAAATGTTTTAAAAAAGGAGTATTGGGTTAAGGAAGTGTTTGTAAAAAAATAAATTAATTAAAAATATATATATCTTTAGAGAAGATTCATGGTAGTGGATGTGGAGTGACATTACATTGTTGTTTGGCTTGGCTCCTTGGAGATCAAAATGCTCAGCTAACCGCAGGTCATTTCCACAACAGCTGAAAGCCCCCCCGAAGAGATATTTATTTTAGTGCTATAAATCTGTGATTCTTATCCTGTTTTTGATGCTGTGGATGTTTTATGGTAGTGAGTTTTCTTTTGTGAGTAAACCTCGCTGTAATGTGGTTTAGGATGCTGTAAAATCAGACCAGCTCTCAAACAGACAGAAAAGACTGTTGTTAATGCTGTCAAATGCAGTTACTGGTATTAAAAGGGAAAGTCACCTCTGCATCATCGGCAATTGGAGGCTTCGACAGTGATGGATGGAACAGCTGGATGTCACTTCATCAGGAGGAAGCTTTGAATTTACTCTGGATGTGATTGCATTTTAGCACTTTTCCTTTGCTTCATGTTCTTGGGTCTGAGGTCTTCCTTGCCCCGTTAAAGGGGCAATAGTCTTTTGTGAGGATTTTGGTTTTGAGGGCACTTGATTCAGTTTTCACTGGCTGTTTTCTGATGTGTGAAGTAGCTGTTTGCCTCAGTGTTGGCTGGGATTCTCTCTGCTATGAGGTTTGGCTTTTTTTCTTCAGTCTTCTGGTCACTCTTTAGCAGATTTGTAACTGGAGGGCGTGCTCGCTGCATATGTGCGTCATGCTCACTGACTCATTGTCCTGTCAAGTACACAGTTCATAGAGCCAAGGGTGATAGTTTGGGTGTGAGGCCAGAGGAGGATTTGAAAGTGGGGAAATAACTTCGAGCATGTCTCCACGGTCACTGTATTTACCCTGAACAATAAGACTGATCAGTGCATGCTCATAAATATGATAAACACCACCGTTTCAGGCCATTATCAGCCTGTAGGGAGGATATCTGTGCAGTATACACACTCAGCTCTCTGACGTCTGACTCCTTTGTTTGTCACTTTCAGAAGATAGCCAGAGCGCAGAGATCATGTAGACAGCGCTCTTTGTTTACAATAAACATATCCATGTTATGCAAGGCTGTGGCAGAGGAAAGGAGGGTGGGAAATCAGCCCAAGGCTCCGGTTAGGTGACACATTTCACGTCACTACTGCGATTATCTAGTTTCAGCCGGTCGCAGCTCTACTGCAACACATCCCGACAGCCACCCGATATTTACAGCTATATTAAGAGTGTCCCTGTCCTCGCAGAGTGGTAGTGTTTCAACACATGCTTAACAAGCGAGCCCTCCCCCTCATGTTGTTCACGTGACCTGAGATGAGGCGCCTCGGTCTGATCAGACGCCTCTAGAGATGGTTTCCAACAGGTGTTCAGGTGTGAAACGGAGTGCCTTTTTCCATAGGTCACCAAATGTGTGTAATCCCCATGATGATCCTCACAGAGGCGGAGCTCTTCCAGGGAAATGGAGGACAAAGAAAGATGAGACATAAATTAGTATGAAGGGGACCTATTTTGCTTTTTCCTTATTTTCTGTCTTGTCACTGTTACAGAGGCGGATGGTTATATTTTTAGTTTCACTTAATGAGGTCTGTGTTTAGTGAGTAATCCCTGTGAGCCAAAAGCTCGGGCTCTAAACGCTCAGATTCAGACAGTTTTTTTCTACCTTTGGGTCTGAGTGATGTCATAGAGCGGAGATATTCGTCTTACAGCCATCACAGTCACACAGCTATGGTTCTTAGTACATAAAGCCCCACCCACCTACAGTTTGAGCCCTCTGTTTGTGAGGGGCAGCCAGTCAGAACAAAGTTGGCCTCAAGGGGGAGGAGCTAAAACAGCTCGTTTCAGACTGAGCAAAGCTGTTCTTTAGAGTTCAAGAACAAAATATGGAGATAGAGAGGATCATGAGAGATTCAATTTGCTTATTGGCTTGGAGATACTTCGCATACCATAGTAATAACGACTGGAAACAGGAGGAAACTGCCAGCCAGGTTCTGTCCAGTGCTAACAAACGCCAACAGTAACACTAAAGCTCCATAATTAACCTGCTGCTTTTGTGATAACAGGTTAAAACGATCAACTCCTTTAATGCTTTTGAGTTAAAGCTCTCGATATGATGCCTTAAATGAAAGATGTCCCTGCTGGAAGTTGGACTTGGACATGGAGAATGTACTTGCCCAGAACTGTCCTTTTAAAGGGTCGTGACACAGTTTTAAACACCCAGGGCTCATTCCTTTGTAGCTGATGTAACCGTTGTAGAAATAGCTCCACAACCAGAGTGAAGAGTGATTAGATGAAGCCAAACTTTGGCCCAAAATGTGCTTTTCAAAGTGTTTGTATTTTTTTTAATGGGTTCAGGTTCTAGGCAGTCAGCCAGCACTGAAGGGAACTGGAGGAGAGAGCATAGCAGACATTGTTCTAAGAGTGAGGAGGAGGATCTGTGGTGCTGAAAGGGCCTGCAGAAAATGAAAAGGAGAGGAAGTTGCGGGAAGAACGAGAGGGCAAACAGAGTTGGCTGGATAGTGGGGGTCGAGCCGTTGGGGTGGGGTTGATGGGAGTCGGGGAGGTCGAGGAGTGCCCCGTGAGAATGAGTGCATTCCAGGCGATCGTGCATGGGAAGGTTGTTCAGAGGATGCACATGATTGTTTCAAGGTGGCCCTTTACATTGATAATGAGCCTTACAGCAGGGGTTCTTTTCTTTTCCCAGCTTGTTTGCTTACGCAGGGGGTGGCATTGTGTAGTCCTTCCAGAAAGAGACATTTGTATTCTTCTGAAAGAAATTCCTTGGGAGGAACCCTGTGCCCTTTTCAAGAGAACTCTGCAAGTTATATGCACTTAAGCATTATTTCACATTGCTTTTTCCCATTTTAACTTCAAAGCATTTATTATTCTGTGCCTGCTCAGATGTCTGAACAGTGACATGTAGCTTTTGTAGCCCATGTGTGTCAGCGATTTCCTGTCCCTTTGCCCAACTTTGCTCCTGTGTAAGATTTTCAGATAGTGCAAAGAGCTACTCCCCCAACGTCAATGAATAGCGACCCCCCCTCCTCCCCTCTCTGCGCCCTCGCACCGTGAGCCAGCCATTAACATTTGAAAACAGCCAGCGGGGAGACAGACTACAATGTGGACTCGTTTTAGAAACAGACTCACCAACAATGCAAAGAACCATTTCCACGGTTGAGCTCCTCCTTCCTTCCCTCAAGGAATGCCAGCTATTTCACAGGGTCATCCTTCAGGATCTAGTGGGCTCCCTTCAATTCGGTTCGACTGCACGGAGAGTCAGTTTAATAGCTGAGCTGACCTGTGTGCGCTCTGGATATGTGTAGGGTAGAAGCAGAGGTCCTCTAGCAGGCCGACAGCATCGTAGTTTTAAAGCATGTGAGATTGCATTAGTCTTCTTTGTCCTGTGGCGAAGCTGAGCAGTGTGTAGACAGTCGTTTGGGGGAAAAGCAGTTATAAGAAGCTGCTGTATACAGGTAAAAAAAAGAATACTAAACATTGCTAAAGGTTTTAAATAAAGAGGTCAAAGTGTATATAAATTACATGAATTCAGAGTTCTCTAAACCAGCGGTCCCCAACCCCCGGGCCTCGGACCGGTACCGGTCCGTGAGTCGTTTGGTACCGGGCCGCGAGAGTTGAGGCTCAGGTGTGAAATGTATAGTTTTCAGGGTTTTTATCGGTTTTCAGCGTTATTTTGTTATCGTTTTTATCGTTAACTCGGTTTTCCTTGGTGTTTTCACGTGTGTTATGAATAAATCTTCTTTTTTTCGGTACCGGTACTAGTTTTATTTTGTTGTATTTATCCGCGACACCTTAAAGGCCGGTCCATGAAAATATTGTCGGGCATAAACCGGTCCGTGGCGCAAAAAAGGTTGGGGACCGCTGCTCTAAACAACCCATTTGAGGCTTTTATTCGCTGTTTTTTTCCCCCGCTCTGTATGATGGAGGATGATATGTCCAGTACAGCCATCTAAGCTAAATTTTACTGTTTATGAGTGCAGAAGCCCCACTCGTGGGGCAGCCAATCAGAACTTAGTTCTAACTTAGTTCACCCAATGTCTGTTCTAGACAGTGGGTGAACTAAGGGGCTACGCCATGGTGGAGTCTAAGATCATTATTATTTTTTTATGCATGAATCATGTTGTTGAAATCAACCTAGTAAGTCCTCTTAAACCATTTCCTTCATCCTTTTAAACAGTTACTCATTCATTTCCACACACCCACTTTTTAAAATACTTTTTTTCATCATTTTCAACGCTTTCCCTTGAGCAACGTCCACAGAGACGTGGACGCGGACGAAGAAAAACAGAATCAAAGAAAAGAGAATCTGAATGTTTTTCTACACAAAATTTATCTATGAAAGTTGGTATAAAATGAAAAGA